TTTTTTAAATATATATATTAAATATAATTATTCGCGTATATGTGTTATATATATTAATTATAAATATATAATCGCTATATTAAAACGTATACTTACAACTTCAAGTATATATATATATATGCCTAATGTTATTATATACTTCCTTAATACTGCAGCCGCAGAAACAAACAGACGTGCGTTCTACGAAATTGCGAATAGCGCGCGAAAAGAAGAGAAACGAAAAGAAGGATACGTGGATTCCGAATCACCCAGTACAGAATACTGCACGTGTACGTGTACGCGCACACGAAGTATCTCGCTAGGGGTGCCCATTGCGATATACGAGGGTCTAATTGCCGGTGTCCAGCGAGGGGATCTTGCTGCCGTTGGACATACGACGCATGGGTTCCGCGTAGTACTCGTTCAGCAGTTTCATGTGCCTGCCGTTCAGGTGGGTGTTCAGGCTCGATTTGTGCTTCGTCCTGTAAGGGCACAAGGGACAGTGGAACTTAGGTTCCACGCCGCACTCGTGCTTCAGGTGCCTGGCCAGGCTGGAGTAGTAGCTGTAGACCTTCCCGCAATTCTTGCAGGGGTAAGTCACCCTCTGACAATTCAGATAGCCCACCGTGCGCGCATCTGGAAAACAGAAGAACACGGGGACGTGCGGTTAGTGAAATGTTCGTGGACACGGCCGCGACTCTCCCCCTCGCAAATTCGTGCATAGCGTGCAGCGGATAGAGGAGGGCAGACTCCCGTCGGCGGATGCCTAAGTATCAAGCTTGGGGTCTGCTCGTCTAACTCTCGCCGCACAGACCGCCCTTGGTAGAGGCACGCGTCACGCGCTGCACGAGAGGGCCGCCCTTCGCACAGTTCTCATAAGCGTACTTCGTGTGCTGCCGCAGCACGAATGCATCTCATGCCAAAGTTACGTCACAAGAGTTTGCACGATTTGCGTTATTCTCATTTACATCACAGTTAGTCTTTTGCCGGACGATGGTATGTACAGCGGAGGAGTGGTGGGGGACCTCGAGTCTTGGGAAGGGTAACCATATACTTAGCGTTGGGTACATTTATTCATCCTGACACTTAACCCGACAAGCAACTTTGTCAATCGATCGTTCGCATACTCGAACGATTGGGGAGGAAAGAGAGCGACTGAAAAGTTCCCAAGAGAAAGTCCAAGAATGACAGAATACTACTTGCAGGAAGAAATTATATCTTAACTTTAAGTTTGTCTTAACTTTAAGTGTTTGTACACGGAAAGAATATATGTGTTTTTTATGTAAAGTCTTTTTTATGTAAATTCTGTTCAATTTTTACTATGTTTCTAGTAGTGCAGGAATAGACTGCCGATCTATCTTGCCAAGGAACATAATAAATTTCGCTAGAAACACAGCAAATTTTTTAATAGTACTCTCACTTTTCAGTTCCCAAGATATATACAAATAGCATATATGAAAAATTAAAGGATAACGAATCAGTGTGAAATGTTTATTACGAAATTTCACAGTAATTTTTATTATAAAATTCTCTCCGTGTAAATTCTGCAAGAAACTTTCAAACATCGATGCATTAGTTCGCAGATATGTTGAGCTCTTTGAGAGACAGACGAAACATGATTTATTTTCCTTATTACAAAGTTATGAACATTCAAATGCCTCCCCTGAAAAGTCATGGTGCTAGTAACTCTATAATAAGGAATCTAGACCACGTTCTTATCTATTTAAACAAAGAACAAAAGAAAAATCGCAATTTCATCAAACACATCTGAGCTAAGACATCGATGTGTTCTTTGAGTTATGCGTGACAGGAATACACAACTACAAGTAGAATTCTGTTCAAAGTCTTGCCGCGAATTATAGATCATCCGAGGCGTTTTGCAATCGCTGGAATGCACCTGGTGGCCTCTTTCAACTCAAAAGCGTGTGAATCACCATGGCGGTCGCGTTGGCGACTTAAAGTGCCGGTCCCGTCGAGTGGTCGACTTTGGCGAGGACGTCGGAGGTGTGACCAATGACATTGCCGCTACATCAGCGATCGCACGCCTGTAGCGCATGCGGAACTCTTAGCCATGCGTCGAGCTAGCTTTCGCAGTGATAAAGTTTGCGACGGAGTGTGTGGACATCGGTAACACGCTGAGCGTATCGAAACTGCAACAAATACATCCAGAACGGT